GCTTCACGTCGACGTACATGGAGATCATGTCGGCGATGGTCTTGTTGAGTCTCTCCGTTAGCCCGTTGGTCTGCGGGTGGTACGCCGTGGTGCGGCGATGGCTGGTGTGGCTGAGACGAAGGACTTCCTGCGTCAGCTGGGCCATGAATGATGATCCACGGTCTGAGATCAGGACTTCGGGAGCGCCGTGCCGGAGGACGATGGATTCAATGAAAAACTTGGCAACTTCCACAGCAGTTCCGAAAGGAAGGGCTTTCGTTTCGGCATACCGCATGAGATAATCTGTGGCGACGATGATCCAACGATTTCCCGACGTCGACGGCGGAAAAGGGCCAAGTAGATCCATTCCGATCTGCTGGAAGGGTGCTGTTGGCGGAGGAATTGACTGCAAGAGTCCGGCCGGCCTCGTCGGAGGTTTCTTTCGTCGCTGGCATTCATGACATGATCGCGTGTACAGGTGGACGGTTTTGGGGAGCTTGGGCCAGTAATACTTTTCACGAATACGTGCCAGGGTCCGGCTGTAACCAAGGTGTCCGGACGTCGGGTCGTCGTGGCAGGCTTGAAAGATCTCCCGAAGGTCGGACGGGATTACCAGCAGCCATGGCGAGTTGTTGTTCCCGAAGTTCTCTTTGTAGAGTACACCTTGTCTAATGGCGAAGGTCGGCAGCGCTCGTGAAAAAACACGTGGCATGGCACTCCCGCGCCCTTCCAGGTGCTCTATTAGTGCGCGCAGCTCAGGATCGTCTCGTTGACGCCGGGCCATGTCGTCGATGTTCACTGCGCCAAGAAAACACTCGTCGTCATCGTCGTCGCTGCTGCCGGAAGGTGTTGCGACGGGAGCTCTGGACAGGCAGTCGGCGTCACTGTGCTTGCGGCCTGACTTGTAGACGACGGTCATGTTGAACTCTTGTAGTCGGAGACTCCACCGCGCGAGGCGTCCTGACGGGTCCTTGAGGTTCGCAAGCCAGCAGAGCGAGTGGTGGTCCGTGACTACCCGGAACGGGCTCCCGTATAAGTACGGACGAAACTTCGTGATTGCCCAGACGACCGCAAGGCATTCTTTCTCAGTCGTGGAGTAATTTCTCTCCGCCTTGGTCAATGTCCGACTTGCGTAGGCGATGACTCGCTCGGTGCCTTCTTGTACTTGAACCAAAACCGCGCCAAGCCCTGCGTTACTTGCGTCCGTGTGAATCTCGGTTTCCGCATTCTGGTCGAAATGTCCAAGAACAGGAGGAGTCTGCAGTCGTCGCTTCAGCTCGTCAAATGCCTGCTGCTGTTCATCGGCCCATTTGAACTTCTCGGCGTCCTTCGTGAGGTGTGTGAGCGGTGCGGAAATTCTTGCGAAATCTCGAACAAAGCGCCGATAGTAGGCACATAGCCCAAGGAACCTTCGGACGGCCTTCTTGTCTCTTGGCGCTGGAAATGCTGCGACGGCACGAGTCTTCTCGGGGTCTGGGCGGACACCTTCGTTACTAACCACGTGGCCGAGGAACTTCAGTTCGTCATAAGCGAACCGACAGTTTGACGGCTTCAGGGTGAGTCCGGCGGTCCGTATGGCTTGAAGAACTGCCCGGAGTCGTCGCAAGTGCTCGTCGAAGTCGCTGGAAAACACGACGACGTCGTCGAGGTAGACGAGACAGCTCTGCCACTTCAGTCCTGCCAGTACGGTGTCCATGACACGTTGGAAAGTTGCTGGCGCCGTGCACAGTCCGAAGGGCATCACTTTGAACTCGTACAGTCCATCCGGCGTGACGAAGGCTGTCTTTTCTCGGTCCCTTTCGTCGACTTCGATCTGCCAGTAGCCGCTCTTCAGGTCCATCGATGAGAAATATCGAGAGTGGCGCAGCCGGTCTAGAGTGTCGTCGATGCGGGGGAGTGGGTAGACGTCTTTCTTCGTCACCGTGTTCAGCTGCCGGTAGTCTACACAGAACCTAAGCGTCCCGTCTTTCTTCTTAACCAGTACGACTGGAGAGGCCCATGGACTGCTTGAAGGTTGAATTATGTCGTCGTTCAGCATTTCTTGAACTTGCTCCTGGATCGCCTGCCTCTCTTTAACGGAGACTCTGTATGGCGATCGATGCACAGGGCGCGCGTCGTCCTCGGTAACGATGCGGTGCTTCGCAACGGTGGTTTGGCGCACCTTCGACGACGTGGCAAAGCAGTCGCGGTATTCGGCGAGAAGGTTAATCAACTGTCGTCGTTTCGGGCCCGGGAGTTTAGGGTCAATGTCGAGCTGCGCTGGCGACGCACTGTCTTGCTGAGGTGGCGAGAATTCGTCAGTAATGGCGGCGACAGCGGCGGAGTTTTGGAGTTCCTCGACCTGGCCCACGGCTGCACCTTTTGTGAGGTGTTGCGCTTCATTTCGGAAGTTCGTGACGAGGACCACAGTGCGGCCATCCTGAAGTTCAGCAACTCCTCTTGCGACGCCTATTCCTCTTCCCAGAAGCAACTGGAGGCTTCCTTCGAGCAGAACTTCGCCGCAGAAATCTTCGGTGATCCCGACGGGTACGAAAACACTCGACCGCGGCGGTAAGTTCACGTGGCTGGCGAGGACTCGGACCGCAGATGACGTCGCTTTGGGTTCCTCCGGTGGTGAAACAGGCTTTCGCAGCGTCAACCGGTTTGCTCCGAGGTCGATGACGGCGCCATACTCGCAGAGGAAGTCCATTCCGAGGATAACGTCCCTCGAACAGTCTTGCAGAACGACGAACTTTACAGGGCACGTCTCACCGTGGATCTCGACGCGAGCGGTGCATCGCCCGACTGGTGTGATGAGGTGCCCACCGGCGGTTCGTATTTGAGGTCCATCCCACGGCGTCGTGACTTTTCGAAGGCGGCGGGAGAGCCTCCCACTCAAAACTGAGTAGTCTGCTCCGGTGTCCACGAGTGCCGATGCGTCGTGGCCGTCGATGATGACGTTTAGGTTGTTGGACACCGTTTCAGGAGCGTCGTTTCGGTCTCCGGTAGCGTTCGAGTGGGGGCCCTCCGACGTTCGTGGAGGATCTTGGCGTCGGTCGTCTTCGGCAACTCCACCTCCAGGGGTTGCCGCGCCTAGTTTCTCCGGCGTGGAGCGAGGGGCGACAGGCTTTCACGTCGGGGTCAGAGCATCGGCGAAGCTGGACGTCGTGGTGAAGGCGATCGGAACTCTCGGCGGGACGCAGGCTCGGGGGACTGGGGTCGTCGCAAGTACTCGTCGATCTCCCGAGGGCGTTCACCATACCTGGGACGCGGGTCGCTTGGGTGGAATCTGCGCTGCCCGAGTCGTCGGTATGGGCATCGGCGGTACACATGGTCAGCTTCCCCGCAGTGGTAACACAGCGGGCGTCGGTCGGCCGTCCTCCAGACGTCTGTCTTCCTCGGCGCAGGTCGGTCTGGGTGAACGTGCGCCTGATCTTCCTGTCGTCGGGGATACTGCGGCGTTGGGGCGTCTCTTCGGGGTGGCGCCGCGGCTTGGCGGGGAGCTTGCGGCGGTCGTCGGGCTATGGCAGCGTAGCTCAACGTCGGTTCCTGCGGTGCCACCGTGGTGACGGGAACCTCTGGTTGGAGCGCCCGTTGTACTTCCTCGCGCACAGCCTCGGCAATGGAAAGTGTCGCTGGACGACTTGCGGCTGGCAGCAACTGGCGGAGTTCCTCCCGGACGACCTCCCGGATGATTTCGCGGATATCCGTACCAGGAGCGTGCTCGCCGCCAAGCAGCGCGGTTGCAGCGACACTTGGATGTCGCTGGTAGTGGGAAGCGCGCGCTTGGAGGGCGCGCTCGATGTTTGTCGCCTCGGTGACGAAGGCTTCGACGGTGCCCGGCGGGTTGCGCACGAGGCCTCCAAAGACGTCGTCTCTCACCCCGCGCATGAGGACCTGCAGCTTCTTGTCGTCTGTGGCTCGTGGGTCGGCACGGGCGCTCAGGCGGAGGACATCTTCTACGAAGCTTGTGATGCTTTCGCCGGGACCCTGCGTTCGAATTCTGAGGAGATCTTCTGCCTTCTCCCGTCGGTGTAGGGTGGCGAACGTCCGCTGCAACTCGGCCACACAGATGTCCCACGACGTAAGCGAAGCCTCGTGATTCTCGAACCAATGCCTCGCAGTACCCTCCAGCGAAAAGTAGAGGTTCTGGAGGCACTGCTCCGCAGTCCATCCGTTGTGCCGCGCCACACGCTCGTAGTGCTTGATCCAGTCTTCGACATCCTCGTGGATCTCGCCGTGGAAGGGAGTCGGAGTACGGGGAGCGGCGGGCAGGTAGACGACGGCAGGAGCGGCGGGGGTCGGCGACTGGTCGGCCATCGTCGGCTTCGTTGGCTGCTTGGTCCTGGGCGGCAGAAGTCTGAATTCCGGGTGCAGGCCTTGGGTGCGACGACTGAACCGGATCTCGGTAGTGCCTTCGTCGGTTCTTCGTGGGCTTGGCGTCGGACTTGCACTGCGAACCCTCGGAGGGGAACGCTGCACGGGCATGCGTTACCCCGCACCTCCACCAATATGTCACGGGTGGTGACCAAAAAAACAATAGATGAACAGGAAGAAATAAACGTTTAATGTGGCGAACTTGTGCCAAAAATAAAAGAGTACAAAAGATAATAACAAAGCGTCGCGGGCGTCGAAATCGGCGAAACCGCAGGATCGAGCGCTGGGGCGAGACTGACTAGACAAGGTCGCGGGCGGCCTCTTATCTAGAGTGCGTCGCTATCTCGAAGATTCGGCGAAAGCGGTTCGAGCGTCGCGTGATCGGGGTGAGAATGAACACGCACTTTCTAGAAAACAAAAGCAGGGATAAATGATAGAAGTTACGTGTGGCACATGAATAAACGGGAACTTTCTGGAGGACCGTGACCGAGCGTTGCTTTCTCAGCCTTGCTCGCGGCACGCCAACATCTGATCCTGCAATAGTCCGATTTGTATGCAGACCACGTAAAATGACAAGGTCTCGACTACAGCAAGTGCCAGATGGCCGAAGGATGGGAAACTGCGCAGCTCCCTCCCGCTGGCAAAGGAAGAAAGGTGGTGCTCACCCGAACGCAGTAGTTCCCGGCCGTCATGTTCTCAAAGTGGACCACGCTGGAGTTAACCTGGAAGGAGAAATGACCGGGGTTATGCCAGGGGAAGACAATCGTGGGCAAGCTCAAGAGTCGCTGGGTTAGCCAATTAGACGGAGTTGAAAGTGCCGGATCAAAAACTCCATTCAAGACTCTTTGCTGCACGACATTCAGGTCACGTTGCGAGGAAGGCGAAGACGAAAACGAGACATCGGCGTGTACGGCCATCTTGTGCTAGGCCGCACATGCTGGCTCGGCCTCTATTAACTATTCTGTTTCGTTGTCACTTGTCCTGTCCCTTCTGCCATTGACGAGATCTTTTGTAACAATATTCGTTAGCTCCGGCTTCCCAAATCATGGATTCTCAGTGCTTCGGTGAAGGTTTAGCTCTGTGTCAGCAGGTTTACACTGCCACAAGAAAGCGTTGGCTATGTCGACCGTTGTCTAGGACTGTTGTGGGATTTCAGGAGAATGCCCTTGGACCGCCAACTGCAGCGCTGAAAAAAATTGCGGCAGTTATGCGAGCCTCATTTTTAGCAGAAATGCGGCCAATGAAGGCCGAACAATCGAGATAATGTATTTGCAACTCGAAACATGGACTTTCCAAGGATGAAAACCGCCAATCAAGAGCTGACTACTCGGGGCTTTCCCCCTGGCAACAGACCTTGTGATATTTGAGAACCAATAAGCCTTCTGAGGCAGGTCTTTATCAAAGAAATCAACTAAATCCGCCTACCGGAAAATACCGCGGAAGAACCCACTTCGTTCAAGCGCCCACTATTAAAGTGTTGCAAACTTAAGAATTATGCAAATTTTACACCAAGTGCCCAATTTAAACGGGCGCCCATGTCATAATTAATCTAGTTTTCAGTGAAAGCGGGGTGGGTGCTTCCCTGGTATTTTACAGTAACATAATCTTGATGACCACCAAAATATTGAGAATATGTAGACTTAAAAAAAAAAAAAAGAAAAAAAAAAAAAAGAAAAAAAAAAAAAAAACCTATAATGGATAGTTGTGGTAAGTGAAACTAGTCAACTGACTTCCAAAGTTCAAAACACATAGAACTTCATTTAATGGGCAACTCCATAGTAGAGGCAGTTGTCACAAAGGTGTTTGACCAAATTTTGAGCCAAGGCGGCCCCCAGCAGCAGACAAAATCGCTTAAAGGGGCCCTGCAATCATATTTAAGCGCCTACCTTTTTTGCGGTTTCCACATCTTTTAGGGTTCGGGCAAGCCAGCGGGCACAGGTAACTAAATATCAGCGAGTCATATTTTAACCGAAAGACACGGAAACCTCCTCCACCTACGAGGGCGACCCGCGTTGCCGAAAGCGCGCAATATATGACATCTTTGGTCCTGGGCTTACTACTGGTCAGAGCCGCTAAAAGCTTTTTTTTTTAGTCGAAATACAAAATATTGTCGCGCGCAGGGTCACGGACTTCTAGAACTTTCTCGTTTATTCTTGCTCCGGACATAACTTCTGTCGTTTATCCCTGCTTATGTTGTTCTAGAAAGTGTGTGCATTCTCACCCCGAGCGCGCTACGCTCGAACCTTCTCCGCCGAATCTTCGAGATAGTGACTCTCTCTAGATAAGACGCCGCTCGCGACCTTGTCGAGTCAGTCTCGCCTCTGCACTCGATCCTGCGGTTTCGCCGACATCGACGCCCGCGACGCTCTGCTGTTTTCTTTTGTACCCTTTTATTTTTGACACAAGTTCGCCACATTAAACGTTTATTTCTTCTTGTTTATTTCCTGTTTTCCTTTGGTCACCACCCGTGACAATATAAGTGTTGCGAACCGTTAAAATTATGTATGAAAGTAGTTTTTGTTCGGTAATTTACATCAGAAAAGAAACAAATGCAGTTTATAAAGTACGGAAACAAGAAAAGACTCGTCGGCAAACCCGCCACCAAGCGGCGGAAAAAACGGCGCATACTAGAAAAGGCTAGTGGGATGAGGCTCCGACGAACAGCGAGCGTAGGAAGGTCCCGGATGTACGCGGCAGCGCTGCGGTCGTATACCGGCTCGAGGATCCGACCGGTTCCGAGCGTTCCGAAGGCTTTCGGCGCGGGCTTGGATGGCGATTTGGCCATTTGGCGGTATGGCAGCACGAAGTGGCTCCCGTTCTGAACTGATCTTTACACCGTGTTTGCTGTAGTTTGTGCCAATCAAGTGTTATGCCGAATTAGTCCATAATCGCGCAGCAAATGGAATGCAAGCCGCCCTGGCCGCCCGCTTCATACAGCCCATCCAACACGTGCTTTAGTTGCGCCCTCTCAAGCCGTCGACATGGAGTGCGGCAGCCGTGAGCGCTTGATGAACTCATTACCTCTCCTCTAGTTCGCGACCACTCAAGCCAGGACCTACGACGCCACGAAGGAGGTTATTTTTTGCTTGTTTTTGTAATTCTAAATTGACTATAACTTTTAAAATAAAGCGAAATTTGAGAAAAGAAAAGTTTCTTTAAGTTACTACGTTCAGTGCGCTCAAGTTCGGTGCAAATTAAAAACCAGTCAAAAAGTCGTTGCAGGGCCCCTTTAAAGAGCACCTCCGCTTGATTTTTGTTTTTGAAAAAACAATGCAGTCCTCTTCAGTATTACCTAGGAAGACCACATGTCAAAAGTAACGACCTAGTTTTGTCTAAATGTTTGTTAAACGGTCCGCAAGTTTTGGGACGTCAGCAAGGTTTCCTCTTGGCGCCCAGCGCCAAGAGGAAACCTTGCTGACGTCCCAAAACAAACATGATTGACGTAACGTGCCTGCGCAGCGCGCTTCTTGAGAGCCATCTGGCCGCCCCGCCGTCTCCCCCGTCACAACCGCCATCGTCGTCTCACCGTTCGAGATTATTGTCTCTCGGAGTTTCGTCCACACTACGGACACTACGTGCACAGACTTGTGCCGCAGTTGGGCAGACGTCGTCGAATGTCGTAGACACCAAAATGTGGTGACGAGTGCAGTGCAGAGGACACTTGCGCCTGGCACACGCACACCCCAATCCCGCCCGTTGTTGCGTAGAGGATCACGTGACATCTCGTACCCGTGATAACCATAATCTTGGTGGCCAGAGGCCAATGTTGGCGGACAAAGCCGAAGTTTCGGTTTCGACTTCTGCTCGTGTTTAAAATTAGGTTTAAAAATATATACCCCATTTTTCGCAAAGCAAATTATGTAGTGTATTTTACTAGGGCTTTTTAATGCAAAATCAGTCATTATCCCGAAATCTTTGGAATTGAGTGGAGTTGCCCTTTAACCTAAAATGCGCATCGCAAATAAAATATTCGGTTCGTTAGTCGTTTTTTTTTAATGAAAGTGCATTTTTTCACCGACAAGTTCTATTAAAGGGACACTGACAGGGTATTTATGCTTGCCGAAGTTTTTCTTTAAGCATGACCTATAAGAGCCCAACTCCACAAAACAGAATTGGTGGCCTGGAAATTAGTTTTCTTTCCGACCAAAAACAGCTGGTTGAGAACTGACCGGTTCACTAGCGCTCCGTCACGTTTCCATAGGCACATGGTGTTTAACTTATATGTACCTAATATATTCAGTCATGGGTTATCAAGACACACATTCAATATTAAAAATAAAAAAGAATATGAACCCCATTCTTTGTGGCTTCAGCAAATACGTCGATTGAAAAAAAAAAAAAAATGTTGCACAGATCACAGGAAGTACATGTACATGTCATTCTCAATATGGCGACGTACCGCGGGCTGGACAACTTGACGGCGGCACACGACGGACAAATGTTGCGATGGACGGGGGGCGCTACTTCGAAACTCTCGTCCCTGGTACCAGTCAATCGATCTTCAAGTGCAGAACATCGAGCGGAAGGGACATAAATGCGAAACAGTCGCACAACAAACGATTTACGCAAGTTCATCGTCGTCATCATCTGCTTCAGGGGCCGGAGAAGCAAAGGAAGGAAAAAAACGCAGTCAGATGTAGCCATATGATTTCCGGCCATTGCTTCCCTCCTAGTGTTTCGGTTTCATTTTCAGACAGTTTAGTTTTTTGGCTTTATTAAGCCAATATAAGTTACTCAGCAGCAAAATATTGATTGGGCAGCCTCCTAGCTGACATCATATTACATTGAATTGGCCACATTCCTCTGGCCCCAAAGCAGGACGCGTGTCAAGGGTGGAGGGGGGGGGGGGGGGGGGAGTTTAGGGAGTTAATTGTGTTGAGACTTGCTAACTTGAGACTATTATTTTGTATATGCTGTGCACATTTCGTTTCCTTGCAATTTGCAGGAAATAGGACTTGTGTTGTTGAAGAATACGACTTGTGTTGTGTGTTGTCGAAGAAGATTGCTGTAAAGAAGGAGAAGATGCGATGAAAGGTCCATCGCGGCGTCAACATCCAGTGAGGCCCCCTTCCCCTCTTTTCTTAAGAGCTGGTGCCACCCACCCCCTCGAGGCTGCGCTGCACCTCTTGCACAATTGCGATGTCGAAGACGCACGGCTCTTCCCCGGGACCGGGGGGCCGGAGGACCTCCCAGAGACCCACACGGAACTGGTGACGGCACTGGGGCCACTGATGCACCTGCACGTCTGCCTCCACCCAGCTCCTGCAAGGCAAGGCACTGAATAAGACAAGTGTCGACATCTCTTTTCCCCTCGAGCAAACACGCTTTTTAATGCCTGCATGCAGCCATCTTTCGTTTGGACGGTCATGGCTTGGACTGGACCAATCTCGTGAGGGTGTGGTGCTGTTTTTCATTGTGCCCTTTTGCTTTGTTCGTTCACTCGTTACGTTTACTTTCCCTCTTACATAAGACAGGAAGAGCCTTCTGGCACGTTTCCAGTGACGCACCGCGGGAGTGGGAGAGAAGGGGACTGAATGGCTGTGGTGGTGGTGGCACAACGTACGCGACAATGTGCCACTGAGGTGCAGCAAACGGCGCAAAACCGCCGAAAACAACAGTATGCGGAACGGTGCGAGGTTGGAACTCCCATCCTTCACCAAGTCAGAACCCCTGCGCCAAATGCTGACACATCTCCTCAAGGATCAGCGCGACAACGGCAGCGGTTTCGGCATCATTTTAAATCTATATTTTTGCTCTCCCGCACCCGCCATGATCGTACAGCAAGTAGCACTCTTGGAAGGATGTCATTACTTTCCCGCATAGGGGTCCTTTACTGCAAGGGGGAGATGCCGCCCGATGCCTTCCCTCGTGCGCCCCTGCAGATAAGCAGACATCTTCTTCCTACTTCCAAGTTGCCACTTGAGGCGGGAGCCAACCATCAGATTACTTCTGAGTGGTACTTACACAACTCCTTGGCGTGCAGTGTTGCCCAGTAAAATAGTGGTTATATAATGTGTGAGCATCCTGGAACGGTGCCCGAGACGCGTCTTCAGCTGGCGAGTTTAGCGTCCTATACTGCCCGTGCGTCGAAAGTCGTCTCAAAATGGCAACGTCACAAGTGCAGGCGTGTCATGCTGTTGGATGTTGCAATCCTGGTGGTTGGTTGTGGAAGTTTGGCAGAAAAAAACGAGCAAACACAAGTGTCACTGCTGTGGCATCTTAACTCATCAGTGAACTGTCGAGCTACTGGACAGCAAATTACAGCAGAACAGACCTCTGCCAGATATACCTCTGTTGCTGTGCCACTGTTAGGATTGCGGCAGGAAGCACCACGAGACTTTTATGACGTCATCGTGCTGAAATCGATGGACCACAACTGACCATGCATTAAACACACCAGTCACAGACGCAATCTAGGTAACGTAAACCTGGTGGCTCCTAGGTTTCTAGCCGACCAGATTTCCCAATACCCTGATCAATCTGCCATGTTTCAACCGCGCGGTGGCAGAGAGCGCCATGCCATGCGCACCTTCCGTACATTGCCTCGATAAGGTGCAACAGGGACGGCATGTAAGCAGCTTGCAGCCGACAGCAGACGCACAAACGTGCTCCTGTCGAAGTCTCGTATCTGCCCGTGTCTCACTAAACCCAATGGCTCATCCTTGAAACCGTCGACTACATGTTGTTCCTCTGAATCAGGAACACAGCAAAGAAAATCGACCACAAAGAGAATTCGATTTCCCATTCGTGCATTTTTGGTTAAGTTCCGGTTCGGTTTCAAAGGAAGTAAAAGAACTTTGGAAGAAAAAGCAAAAAGAAATTTTATGGCAACCGAAAAGTAATATTATACATATATTATAGTTTGTGAGCTTTCGGCTGAGCGTTAGGCAAATAAATGGGCCAACCTCAGCTGCCAACAGCCTCCGCCGCGTTGTTTGCTCCCTCACTCGTGAAGATCCTAGCAAGAGGTTACTTCCCCGATGAACTCGCTCCATGATCCACGTGAGCAGCTCCTAATAATGTCACTGATAATGTCATTTTCAGCAGTTAATTGTGTCGCCAAGGGAGAGGGCAGAGCCAGAAGTCACCCGCGGTCGAAGTGTTACGTGCGTCGTTCGTCTCGACGACCACCGTGTCTATCGCGCTTCATATCCGACCGACTTTGGCAAACCACACGACAACAAAGACCGTCGACGCCTGCTCTACAATCGCATCTTTTGGGTCTTGTCTCAAAGCGGCAATTTGTAGCCGCTTCGAAGCAGCTTTTGAATGCCTTGGTCGGGAGCGGACGGTACACACGCCCGTCGAAGTCAAGTCTTGGGGACTGTACTTACGACGTGTAGGAGGCTGTGACGACAATGGTGGCGTTCCAGCTGGAGCAGCCGCCCGGAGTGGCCGTAGCGGGAGGGCTTCGCCCCACTTCCACCGGGTGCAGGGAGCTCACGTTGGCCGCGGGTCCGCTCACCTGGGAGAGGACGAAGGCCTATTGGAGCAGCGTCCCTCGGATAACGAGGTCAAGGGGCTGGATTTTCTACCTTGCCTACCGGAAATCGGCGCAGGGCACCGATTGAACGCGTGTGCCAGCTGCATTAGCTGTCGGCCGAGACTCGTGTTGGATATGGGAGCTTACGCCGCACTCGTGTCCCGTCCATGCCCTGCCCTCCGGTTGTTGAGCCGGAAAATCCAGCACTCCTCGTTATTATTTAAGAGGCGTTGGTTGCAGAGTGCAGCGAGTGTGGGGGGAGAAGGAAAAAAGGGAGAGAAACGTGTAACACATACACAACTATGGAATTCGAGAGGGAGTCTAGACGGGCGAGTTGCATGCGTCCAAAGCTTTCCTGCTTTCTCTACGAGACAACTGAAGGAAGCCAGGCCTGGGCAAATGCACCTTTCACTTCCATATACAGTGTTTGATTTTAATTAGAACATATTTATTTTTTAAATATGGGGTTGGAGTTAGATGAGCTTTGTTTTCACCGTGTATTTGTTAGGCTCGGCGGACATTAGATGACGGGATAATCGTCGTGATAAGTCGACCGCTTAACTAGAACTTCTTAATTAATCATGATGTAGAAAACCCGAGACTGTGGTAAAAGCAGGGAAACTTGGTCGAAGAAGAAAGACAGGGGAAAAGAATGTCCCAAGACGTTCTTTTCCCCTGTCTTTCCTCTTCGACCAACTTTTCCTGCTTTTACCACAGTCTCGGGTTTTTTACATCATGATCAACATCCACCATCTCGCCTGTGCACTCACTGTTTTTTCCCTTAATTAACTTTTAATTGTACTGGCTTTAGCAGTCATGTTGGAATTGCAGTATTGACGGCAATCACTATTAGACGCCAGACCAATTTAAGGAATTTGCAAGAGGGTAAAGAATTCTTAAATATTAAACGATCAATTTTTAGAGTTTTATCGCCCAATTTAAAAACTGCACTTAAAAAGAGTCACAAGTCCTGCCCAGAATGACGCTTGGAAGAGTGACGTCGCCATTTCAATCGTGCCATCACTATCTCGGCAACGTGTCCTTGGTGGGTGCACTGACGAGACAAGTGATGACGTGACCTAAACGACTATTGTAACATACCAAGTCATCGTCCACCCCCCTGCCGCCTGAAATTCATAAAACAGAAGTGGGGTGGGCCATGTCTTGGTGGTGGGTTAGAGCTAGGCTGCATATTTTCCGGTTTTAACCGAAAAACACCAATAAACATCCGCCGGTGTTGAAAATACAAAATCAGTTAAAACTGAAAAACACTGGTTTTTTCTTTTCATATTTTCGAGCAAGCGCCGGTTTTTTCAACGAAAAAGTTTGGGTAAAACAAACGAAAAACACCGATAAACATCCGCCGGTGACGAAAATAAAAATCGTTGCAAGCAAAAGAAAACATGTTTCTAAATATTTTTTCCCATCAATGCTGTTTTTTTTTCTTTTTTTCATTGAAAAAGTCCTACGGAAACTTCCGTCAAACACATTCTCTTACCCAGAATCATGCACTTTGTCTGTCTTTCTTTTGTTATCTACGTGGTCTTGGGCTCTTGGAGGACAGAACACCGATAAACATCCGCCGATTTTTGTCATAAATAAACACCGGAAAGTATACACCCTAGTTATAGCACAAAAAGTTTAGAAAAAGTTAAAAAAGAAACGCCCATTCTTTTGTACGTGTCTAGCATAGCTGCGCAGAAGATACAATAAACTAAAAACTCTGATTAGTTTCATTGTTTTATACAACAAATGCTCATGAAAGAATGTTTCACTATCGCAAAGTCTGATGCTTGCACACGCAGGATGAACACCGCCGATCATCGGCATACAGCGCAAACGCTTGTTTCGGGAAAACACGTCTCTAAAACCACTGTTCCCTTTTGTTAGGCTCCCTAGCATTTTCTGATCTGTAGATTCAAAAATAGAAAAAAAAAAGTCAACAACTAAATAGAAAAACTAACCAGGTGCAAACAAATGAGCGAGAAAGGTTGCAGGCGAAAGAAGCGACAAAGAGCGATGCTGAAGAAGTGGGAAAGCCCGCGATCGCGTTGGCAAATACTTTGGCGTCATGCCAAGTCGGATGCCTTGTCAATCGTAAGGAGCCGCTCCTGTGCAACCTTGTTGTTTGGTGCATACCTTACTGCGTCCGTGCACGGCGTGCTATCAACACGGGCTGAGGCTGCGTTGCTGCGTGGCGTAGATGGCACCACGAAAACGGTGCTCGAAATGGAACGCTTTACAAACGTCCGTATGCGGCGTTCCAGCAAATCTTTACTTGCCCGTTGGCTTTGTCTGAAACATCGCGCAACCATACTAACTGCGGTCGCGACGTTCCGGGAGAAGGAGCGGGTTCGCGGTGACCTTATTTCGGTGAAGACGAACTTTGACCGTACATTTTTCACCTTACACTTCGCGGTTACATTCCAGGATATGGGGCATCTGCTGACCGTGCAATCCCTGAATGGGTTACCACTTGTGTTATCTTAATTAACAGTTTTGTTGTTTTTTTGTCTCAACTAACTCTTTGTAAGTAAAACAAAGTTTCATTCTCTTATCACCATTGTTTTTCTTTCGCACGAATATACCCTGAATTGGGGTTTGAGGGAATCGGGGAGGAAATCCATAAACAGGGTGAAGTGCCTTTCCCTTTTTCGTTTTACTTTGTCAGCGACATCCTCCAACCGCAAGTTCTACGCCAGTGTCATTCGGGGAGGACGAATTTTCACGGACCACAGAGTACGCGTTTAGGTATTTGTAGGGGATCACTCAGTGTTTTTTTAGAAATCGATATTCGCCCAAAAAGTGGCGTGGGCAATGACTTGGGGATGGGAAATGAGTCGGGATTTACAATATGTCACCCTTTCAAGCGTCATTGTGGGCAGGACTTGATGCAATCTTTTTGCGTGCAATTTTTAATTCGGGCAGAAAAGTTTTAAAATTGATTTATTAACATCTTACAAACCATGACCCTTTTTTGAAAATTCTTCAGATTAGTCTAGCCTCTGGTAGTAATTGTCATCACTACTGCAATTTCAACATAACCCCTAAAACCAAAATTTAAAAAGTTAAGTAACAAGTTTTAGTTAATTATCAACTTAGCACGACGATTATCTAATCGTCGTGCTAATCTAATGTTCGTAGGGGCTGATAAATACGCAGTGACGACGGCGCTAGGGGTCTAACTCAACCTTTTCTTTTTAAATCTGTATAAGTTAAAATCAAACACCCTGCATAAAAGAAGATTGGTTGTCTGGTGCTGGTCATGACAATTCAAGAGGGAAGAGGCAGAACCACGTCACTGTGCTGTCGGGAGAAGTACAAAGAAGCCACACTGAGGGGCACACCCACCGTCGCACAGTAGTTCCCTGGAACGAGGCTGGCAATGCTGAAGTTCATGGTTTGTCTTCCAAGCTGCAACAAACATGGCAGCATGACTGAGAGCAATACTGGGGACAGCCTCACTGCAGTCACGGCACATTGTTAACAAAGCCACAACTCGAAGAGCCAGAGTGAGCTTTGAACCCAGCCAAGTCTGCATAGCCAAGGGGAGGCAGCACCGAACCCGGTATTTGGCTCCGTCTCTCTGGCCATTCTTCCGGGAGAGTTGTAAGCTGCTTCTAGCAAAACCCATCATGAAGGAATCCACCAGAAGAAATATTGAGAGAAGACTAGACTAGTGGAATATCCAGTCATATTTTGGTGCTTACAGTTCTTCACACTTAAAATAAAATTTTGAGAGGTGTCTAATTATTGATTATCTTTTGTGAGCAGCCTGGTGATCCAAGGCACTGAACCAGCTTGCCCACATGCTAAACCGTCCATGGTCATATTCACCGTGAGGTGGCCAAGTGCAATTAGCCACGTGAGCAGTGCTTCACCGGTGATAAAAGGCCGGCGCAGCGTATGTGCAAGGGGATTTTGTGGCAATAACAATCGATAAATGACTGTGTTGTGGAACCAGTGCATTGTGTCATTCTCCAAGACGGATAGCGGCAAAGGAAATCCTACACTTTATATCTAACGCTCCATAGCAAAAAGGGAATTTCTGTAGCCAAACGTCTTCCCGCCGAGAGATCAAAATACTGCAAAATAATGCTCGTTAACAAATAAGGATGTGTACAATACAAAAATAATACACTTTTGCCAGAGTGGCTTGCAAAGCCGAGGCACCCTCACGGTTATGTTCTCCCTGCGAAAGACCAGCGCCCGTGGAGAGAGGCAGCCCTGGCCGGGGTCCGGAAGCAGCAGTAGCAGGAGCTGTGCCCCTGGATCGGCAGGTCCGAAATCCACCTCCAGCCGGGTGCCGACCACCCTTAGGGATGGAGACACGGCTGAGGACGTGTCCGGGGGCGTGTCCAGGGACGTCGCCCAAGCCCACGCCAGGCACAGGACCCACACCAGTACCCGGGCCGCCATCCCCAGATCACTCCAGCAAGAGCTTTATCTAGAAATGCAGCAGTATGCAAACCTTGGAGCTTGCATACTGTCGCAGAAGTATGAAAACACAGCAGTGTGAAAACGTAGCAGTGTACAAACCACTTCCAACTTCTCTTTGTGCTGTGCTTCCCCTAGCAGAAAATACAATGTAAAGACCAATCCTTCAAAAACTTGTATACGGCATGCAAGTTTGTTTTCTACAAATGCGACGCACGCTTCTGTTTCTCTTTCAATCTCAACCAATGATGCCGAGCACTTGGCTGCCTTGTCATTGCATGGTTTAGCAAGACTTGCTATTGAGCCAGTTGGTTCATGGTACTGAGTAAACTTGTATGCTTAAACGCTGAGGACGAACACAGAGGGGTAGACAAGGACAAGCGCTTTGCACTTTCCATAGATGTTTCCTGTGTTGCCCTTTAGTTGGAATGCTTCTCCTTGCGTTTCAATGTGCCAAAGACGCATTTTGGAACACTTGCTCGCTGTTTAGTCACCAAAAGGATGAGAATAGTGGAGGGGTTTTTCTGTGGTCCCGCCTCCAGCAGGAGCTTCCTATCTTTGACTACGCTTTGGCATCTTGTAAGCTCTGAACGTGCATCTGCAGCTAAAGCATGGATTGAGGGCAACAATTGCATGCTGGAGCCTGTGGATCAGAAAGAGACACCCCGCTTTTTTCGCCCTGTCAGTGCAACAAGTGCCCACCTGCTACTTTTGAAACATCTCAGATACAAGAAAAGGATATATCAAACGCCCACCCAGCGAATTCCCGATCGAACCGAGCCCCTTGCATCAGGTGCTTCTCCGAGCGCGCTGGTGCAATACAGTCAAGCTTCAGTGCCTTCAAAATTAGAGGTCCTGCCAGACCCCCATACCACTGCTACATGTTTCCATCAGATCCAACATGGGCAAAGCAAGGGTCGACCCTACCGGATGCCTCTTCTACTTTTTTTTTTTTTTTTGTTCTTGAACTTGACAAGTTTCCATCCCCATTTTTTGTGACGATTCTCAGTGGGCGCTTGCTCGGCATGCAATGGTATAGTTCAGGGGTGAACTGCGGCTTGCGAACCTTATGCGGCTCTTCGAGGGTCCAAGTGCGGCTTGTGGCACCCTGGCAAACCTACCTACCTTCCCCCCTCCCCCACCTTGGTTAGATCAAAAGTAAATACATATACAAAAGTAAAGGCAGCTTGCACTTTGTAAGCTTTATGCCATCATACGCACATTGGACAACACCTTTGATTAACAAATGGGAACTGACAATCAAGAAACATGCAGTGCAATCTCTCGAGTGGAACTCACCGTAGGCACCAAATGGGAAGAAAAAAAAATATTTTTCTAGGTACCACGGCTTTTTTTATTTTATTTTAAGTTCTCACATACATTTTTTTTTTTTTAGGCTCTTTGATTATGCTGGTCTGGCCACCCCTGGAATAGTTCATTCAGCCTACTTTTAAGACAACTGCAGGGAGCTGTTATAGGGTCAGAGGCATTGGAACTATTTCGGAGGTAGGAGGGGGGCAGAGTGGTGCCGGGGTGTGGAGATTCTTCTTCCTCTGCCCCATATTGTTTACCTACAATTTTTTAAATAGCTGAGGTGCAATCAACCTTCCCCTTACCCCTTCCGACGCCATTGGATAGCACTGCCACTATTGCCTCACTTATTTTGTGGAAGGGTACTAGATTTAAACCATCGTTCCAATGTTAACAGCAAATTGTCAATCAGGAATAAAGGCAATGCATACTTGCCAACTCACTCACTGCGCGGACTGTGGGTGTGAGGCGCTATTTCACGAGGTCAGGATCTTGGGTAGAAGCAAAGATACCACAGCAAGAGAACTGATGGAAGCGTTTTATATAAAGAAGGGACGTTCCTGTGTTAGCGATACCTTAATTTCTTTGTTTGAGAGTGAAGTACAGTTTATCTGGGTTGCTCGTGTGATAAAGACTATCGGGGATGTGTCTTGGTGTGTGACTTTTCTATCTTTTTTTTTCTTTTTCTTTCTGTTTCCTTCTTTCCTTCTGTGTAGCGTGATGCTGCGCATGCTCTTTCTTAATGTTTGTGGTTAATTGGGCAAGAATAAACTAGTTAAACGTTGCACTTGTCCGTGTCTACTCTCTTGTGATTGTACCTTGTGTTGCGCAAAATCTTCTAGACTGCGTCATGAACCAACTAGGCCAACAACAAGTTTTAATTAGCAAACTAGGGTTTCGTGTTTTCGGATAAATCTGAAAAAATTCTAAAAACACTTGCCAGTAAATTTTTTATCAATTCAGATTTATACCAAAAAAAAAAACTCCCAATTTCCAGGTCACGAGGACAAAATAAAAAGAAAAAGAGACATTGTTTCACTAATGAACTTCATAAGAAGCTGCAGTCGTGAGAAGATACCACTTCAGTTTTTTTCTTTGAAATCTTAAAACTGACAAAAAGCTCCTCAAGGAAGACCGGGTCATGGTTTCCGGACATCATTTATTTATTAAATTTTTTTTTTTATTTCTTAAATATGGGAATGCAGTAAAATCAATTTTGAATTTCAAAGAATTGAAAAGAAAAAAAAATAAATAAATAAACTCTGATAAACCCCAGCTTTCAATGAAAAATAAGCTCCGAAAAACACCCTCCAACTCTCACGAGAAATAAACTCCAAAAACACAGAACTTTACAGATAACATACTGTCGGTGCAAAATGGCGAGGAATTCCGTAGAACTTCTGCCACTCTGGAACCAGGCAGAATGCTTTAGATTTTAGAAAAGGGTGCCTTCAAAGGGAAAAGCAATTCAAGTACTCCAGTCTTTCGAAAAAAAAAAAAAACTTGTGTAGGTCAGAAGCTCGCCAAAACAAGCATATTTAGCTTTAGCTTTCTCATCATCTTCTGATTTGTCAAAGCCCAGTCCATAATTTGCAGAAGCAAACTTGTTTTCAAGAAACATTGTTTTTTCCAGCTCCTTGGCAGATGACTTTGCTAAAATATTAGATGGTCGTCTTTCCACAGTAACAATGTGCCCTGCTGACTACAGAAGTTTACATAAAAAATAAAATAGAAAATCCTTGTCATTTGAAAGGCACTTTTTTTTTAGATGCAAAACACATGTTGTCAGGCAAATCTGTGTGTACATAGCAATAACAATTGTTGTTGTTGTCATTGTTTGAGGGTTTCTTGGTACAACAGCTATTAAAACCATCCTGCCCCAAACAAAATTAAAAATTAAGCAGTTATTACTAATGTGTTGCGAAATGGTAATTTTAAAAGCTATGCAGGACTAGATCTGGTGTATAAAGTCAGTGCTAGTAATTAATGATAAAACATGGTCAAATGGGGATATTCTCCCAGTAAAAAAAGCAGGACGGACTGGGATTCGGGAGCGAAACAATTCAGAAAAATGAGTACAGCGTTGATCGTCAAACCCTGAACAGAGTCATAAAATATGTAGGATGGTAAGAACATCCCCAGTATTATCAAACCGGTGAGTCCCCCCACAAAGATGCCTGTGAGAGATGTAGGAGTGATCAATGCGACGACGACACAATACTTCATGTAATCGGTTCCTGAGGGTTGAGCTCTCCCAGAGACCAAGGACTGGCTTTGTAATATGAAGTTTGTTGTCAAATTCCATGTTCCAATCAGACTGCCATAAACAAACAATGTGATGACTGTATTAGAGGTCTGATGTCTTGATATGGCAAAGAGGCTTGAGGTGGGAGAAGATACCTGAGAATGTAGTGAGTCTGTCTGCTTCCTCATTACCTTTTATTCCCATATGACTGGGAACCCAACATTTTACTAAGTTTATCTCACACTTGCTGCACCGGTATAGTAACTTTCAAGGAGCATATTGCGGTAAAAGCACTCCGAGAGTCTACAAATAAAACAGCCTGCTTTATTTTAGCCCGGAAAATAGCATCTATGGCCATAGACATTGCATGAACATCAGCTGTAAAAATACTGGTACAAGTATTTAAACGTTTCACTTTTATAAAAAGATCAGAGTGCATGGCACTCCCAACAAATAATGACGCCTTAGCACCATCAGAGTATAAAAGGATGTAACCTACATATTCCTTCTATAGCTCTGAAAATTCCTGCTGAATGGCAAGGGCAGAGACACAATGATTTTTAAACTTTGTGAGAGTCCAGTCATGAACAACTGGCATTAGGTAGGGGGTGACACAGTCTACATAGGCAAAGATAAAGTGAAGAACAAAACTGTTGTACTCGAAAACTCAAAAAGTCTCACAATACTTGGCTTATTCTCAAAGAGGTGGCAAAATGTAGACGTTTGTAGGGAATAATATGTCGGTTGATTACAGTTAGCAAGTATCTTGTAGTTATAGGTGAAGCTTAAGCATGGGTGTCTTTTCTCGAGTGGGATCTCGTTTGATTCAGCATAGTATTAGCTGAGGAAAGGATATATCCAAAAAGATACCTGCTGTGGGACAAACCCAGGTGATGCACTGGATTCAACATCCTAAAAGCAGACGTCCGGCCGTGAAAAAACGTAAACTGGAGACCCATAGTTTAGATGGGATCGAACAGGGGCGCTGTACAGACGTAGGGTGCATTTTCTGTCAGATCCCCAGGTTTTATAGGGGCTAAGGCTTTTAGAAGATTAGCAGTTGTAAGACATTTTTCTTTGAGTGACTTTAGATGAGGAACAGACTTAGAGGGGGTACTACAACGAAATTTCGGCGCTTATTTTATGGTCTATATGTGTTCGAAGGAGCAGCATCACGTCGGACACACCAATATCTTGTTAAAAAAGACACGAAAAGGAATTTTAAAACGAATTAAACGATTAGCAAAGAGCCCCTGGTGGATGTCGCTAACGCCTCGTTTGTGATGCCCATCTAGGAACCTTGAGAGGTAGTGACGGTTATTGTCTAGCCTCCGGCCACGACGAGAGAAAAGGGGAAGGAGGAACTCCCCTCTTCCCAAGAATTCCTTTTGTGCGTTCCAGACATCGCTATTGTCCCTCTACAAGATCATAGAAGATTAACCCGTCACTCAAAATTCGTACAAAAGCAGCAGCTTCGGTGGCTGGAACGACTAGGCCATCCTCTCGACGTCAA